TGTTTCCCTCACGAAATCAATGATGAAGATGTTATTGGTCCCAGGAAGCCCTTCTAAGGAATTTTAGCCTTTGGAAGTTCCTGGGGGAAACTTAAGAGGGTGGAGTTTGGCTTACAGAGTATCAGATTTTTATTTATGTTGTAATGCCCATATGGATAACACAGGAGCTAAGACTTAGACGCACAATAGAGGACCTTCACAACAGAGCGTCTGTGAGAGAGGAAGCTGCCTTTTCCCGCTGCAGTGTTTCCCAGTGCCCCCCGCTGCCCACCCCACTGCAGCCTCCCCGCATCCGCCAGCATCCAGAGGTAGCCATCATCCAGGGAGATCAGCCGGCCACCGTCATCTTTCTCCTTGACTCCAGTTGTCCCAGGAAGTCTTCATTCTCCTTTTTTCTTAAGCTTTCATCATCCTGTTCCATTTAGCCTTCTATCAAGGATCAGTTGCTCAGGAATCCCACATAGTAACCAGGGCAGAGTCTTAAAGTGGGAGCTGAAGACCATCCTCAGGAGAATCTCCTGAGAAGCATATTAAACATAGTGATTCCTGGGCCCCACCCCAGACCTGCTGAATCTTATGAGGCCTGGGCTCCCACATGTTACCAAGCACCCAGTGATTCTTAAGCACTAAAATTTGAGAACTGTTGATCTAAGGGAAAAGTGAAGACAAAATACTTTAGGTCATGGGGGATACCAGCCATCAGCTGGTGACTTTTTGGCATTTAAGGAAATGCAGGGTGCTGAGAGGCAATACAGACACAGTGCCTAAGCCCGGAGCAGTGGTTCTCCCAGCTTCCCTCACCTCCCAGGGATCCCTCATAGTAGCATCAAAGCTGTTTGAATTCCCTAACAGAAGCCCTGTGTCCCGTTTCCAGAGGGATTCCGATTGTTCCTCTCTGTGCCTCCTGCCTGAAGGTGTGCCCGTGGCTGATTGGAGAGGTGTATGCTGAGGTTTGATTTATCTATTTGTTCAGTTACTGTCTACTTAACTCAAGTTTTTCTATGTAATTCAGAGAAACAACCTGTGGGCATGGTGCTTTAAATCACGTGCTTGGTCAGTTCAGAGGCAAATGTTATCTTCCTATTTTTCCCCTTTCGAATTGACCTGTCGTTCAGTCTGAACGGTAACAGAGTAGCCTTACATGGATGGGCTGACACTGATGATAGGCTTCTGGTTTCCTTTAATTAATTGACTTATTGTAGCACCAAAAATGGATGCATTAGGAAGTTTTAATACTGTCTGCTGCTGGCCCAGGGATGAGCTGTACTTTTAGAGTACATAGAGAATTTCCATTAAGATGGGAATTTGAAACTTGGATTTAGACAGAATTAAGACAGAATTCTGTTTGAAATTTTCCACCTCTCATTCTGTATCTCTTTAATGGAAATAACTGCTGCAACCTTTCTTTTCTAAGAAACTCTTGTGGCTTTGCTAAAGAAAAGGCTCAAAATTGCTTCTGATTCTTCCTTGCCTAAATATAATAAAGGTGACTTTAGCAATCACCCCTACAAGATGCTGATGCCCTCCTTTGTGGCTGTCCATCAGCTGAGTGGATTCTGAACTATCCGTCTGCCATTTAGGCCTCCCCCACCTGGGGTTTGCTTAAAATGAGGGGGACTGACTGCGTGCTGCTGATGTTAGTTTACATTTAGTGCAACATATTATTTGATGTATTTAGTGGTCATTATTATATTAAAAATCTATTACGTAATCAGAGGATATCACACACAGTATGTTAAAAATATGGTAGAGGAATAATCAGTCTGATATCCAACCTTCATATTTTGTGAATAGTTTGAAATGGGGAAGTATATTGCTTCTGAGGGAATTTCAAAAACACCACATTCTCCTTTATCTTAAAAATTAAAGAAGAGGGAGATAGATTTTTAATGGGTGATTGTAGAACATTAAACTAGTGAAATAAAAGCCAAAACATACATAGTACCAACTATGTGCCTGAGACAAAGAGGTCAGGTGACTTACCTAAGGAAACACGAGTAGTCAGTGGCAGAAGAATAGTCCGAACCCAGTCTTCTGGTTTTTGAATCTGTGCTTTTAACTGCTGTGCAGAGTCAGGTAGAGAAGCTGCTTAGCAGGGCCTGAGAAGCAAGAAGTGCTTGATAAATAGAAACTATGCTTACAGTTTTCTTATGATTTAAAGCTTGGGATTCTTCTGTCTTCCTTAGGATCACTTCTATAATATTAAAAGAGCTGTAGAAACAGATATGAAGTGGACAATTATCCTTCTCTGTCAAATATTATTAGAGTATTGCAATGCTTATTTAAGGAGATTTACAAAGATCTGGGAATAAAGGAAATTGTAAAACCATGGCTTTAAAAAAAAAATAAAATGAGCAATTATTGAATTTCTGTTATATGCAGATCACTGTCCTAAATTTATTGACTTTTCTTCTATGTACAGATTACTGGGATAAAAGAAGCAAAATTAATAAGACATGGGTCTTGCCTGAGAAGGAGCTTAAAACCTAGTAGTGCTCACAGAGTGCTAATGTTTAAGACAGTAAATACAGAAGTTCCGGGTTTGGCCTGTCAGTGGAACAGGCTAGATCTGAAGTTCTGCATTAGAACCTGGGGTGGCAGCAGCTGTGTGCTGGGGGACAGAATACCCGAGCTTTCCAAAGCTCAGTGTTTTATTTCGTTGGGGTGGTGGTTACTGATTATTGTTTTCCAAGTGGAGAGAATTATATCAATTCATTATGCTTAAGGAGAATTAAATAATGCAAAGGAATCACTTAGTCTGTCCGCAGCAGAGCATAAATGTACAGCAAATAACTGTTGGGAAATGTGAGGCTTTAAACACATGCCTGCACAGGCAGACTTGCACCCCCTGCAGGAGGCAGTGGCGGGGGCCCAGCTGCTGTTTCAGGGTCTGGAAGAAAAGCGAGCTCGAGCCCGTTACCTCCCAGAATGAAGAGCTGAAGAACACAGGGCAGCTGCCCCTTTGGGGGCCAGAACAGGGTGTCCAGACAGCAACTCCCCTATCATCTTTGTTCTTAATGGAGGTACAAGAAGCAATCAAAAATGTAAGACAGGTAGCATATGTATGTTTTTTAATTTTGAGACATGTAAGGGCCGTATGAGGAGTTCATACTCTGATGACACTTCCTTGAATGGGTGGGTGAAGGAAGGTCTCACAGGGGGAGCAGAGTTTGACAGGAAGGGAGAGGTGGGCCAGCTGTGAGCGGCACAGCAAGAGGGCCAGGCCAGAGGCCCAGAACTGGGCGGAGGCCTTCCTTTCTGCTTAGGATCACAGCAAATCACCAAGGCCCTCTGAGTCTCATTTTCCACTACTGTAAATCCAGAAGGAGGATTATATCCATAGTTCTCAAATCTGGACGGCTGCCACATTCCTATGGAGAGCTGTGTACTGAAAGGCCCAACCTGAGAACACGAAGGTCTCTTTAAAGGCATCCCAAGTGCGTACAGTACAGTGAGGGTAGAGAAGGTGCAGTTGGTCATCTCTCAAGTTCTGTAGAATAGATGCCAGAGGCGCCCAGTCTGGCTGGATTACTGGGCACCTGGGTATCTGTGAAACATCAAGTCAGAGCCACACTGTAGAGCGTTTTAAATCAAGAGTCTATCTCTATGCAGAGGGCATTAACGAAGATTTTTATGTAAGGGAATGTGCCGAAAGCAATGCTCTTGAAGAAAAGCATCCTCGAGATTCTGTAGGTCGTAAAAGGAGAAGAAAGATCTAGAAACAGCTTGTGAACTAGGGATGTGACCTAAGATGTTAGCAAGCAAAACTGAGTAAGGTGCACTGAGACCACCATAACCCATAGAATTATAGGAATTTTGCCCCTGTTTTTAAATATGGGATAATCAGTAGAGAAACATGGGCCGTAAGGTGGATATGAGAATGGGATGCTACTGAAATCAGAACCCCCTAAATGGGAAGTCCAGTTCCCATGTGGCAGCCTCCTTACAGTGTGACCAAGGAAGGGTCTATGTAGGTGAATTAGCAGCTGTAAATTTTCACATCAAAACCTCACCTATTCCATAAGCTCTCACAAAAGGCTGAGCAAACCGGAGACTACGGAAGAAAGATCTCTTTCCTACTAGTCCTCTCCCTAGGAGAGGACAAAATGACTGCTTTATCGATTTCTTGGGCTTTCATAGAAAACATTAAGAAATAGCTATTAAGCTATACCTGATTCTGGTTGGTATCTAATGGCTCTCAAGGAGTCCCAGGGTAAAGCAGTTACCGAGGAAAGCAGGGCCAAAAGGAAATGTCCTGTCTGCCCACGTCTTTGCATCTTGCAATACTAAATGAGATTACATGATGAGGCATTTTTCTAAAAGTGTCCCCTCAAGAGATTAACAGGTAGTTTCCATAAAGAACCCAAGTTCCCTGTCAGTCACTTTGATGCTTAACTTCCCCATTGTGTCCCATGCAATAATAATATGGTGATAACATAGCTGGTCATTCTTTGCCAGCTGGTAGCCACAGTGTTTTATAATTTCACAAGTTATGTACAAAATGTATCTCTCTTTGACATAAGGGCAAAGATGAGCATGGGCAGTGTGTCTAGCTTGTTCCTGATTGGCGGCCCAGACCCTCTTAGGAGCCCGACCTGTGGTGGTGTGTTTAGTGTGGGTTCTCGAATTATTGCCAGCTGGCTCTTATGCCACCCCAGTAATGTCCCCAGATTGCCCCTCTGACAGTGGGACTTCCTGGTTACCAAACTTACAAAATATTAAGAAAAACTCTCAATAAGGGCAGGAAATAGACATAGAAAAATCAGAGAGCAACCTGCAGCATTGTTTACATCGTAACATCTCTTTGCATTGAGAATTCAGAGACAAGAGAGAAACTGTTCGGACCTTGAGACAGTCTGGTTTAATTCATTTGCAGTAAAATCCAGAGTGAATCAGCCAGTCTTTACTAAAAGACATGAGATGTTAAAGTCTAATCAGAGGATTTTTTTAGAAATGTTATTAAAAGATATTTTTTCTTCCCTTTTTATTATATTCTACAGGTCCCAGGAGAAAAAAGAAGAGGCAGTCACCTTACTGAAGGATTCCATTAAATATGGGCCAGAATTTGCAGATGCATATTCAAGCTTAGCTTCATTATTGGCAGAGCAGGTAATTGTTTCTATTTAATTTCACATAATATTTTTTTAAAACTTCGACTGTTGAATGTGTAAATTAATATAATACAGATTCTTGTACTGATGGTTTAATTTGTAAACTCCTATCAGGCAATAATCTCTTTGTCAGTTTTTTTTCTTACAGAAATCACAAGCCTGGTTTTCTCTGTCATTCTCTGTGTAGTGTAGGTGACTTTTGGGTAAATATACCATTCTAGACCTCTATCTATTCTCTGCACTTTGGGACAAAAATCTGTCAAGAACAATATGCAACATTTGCTGGTTTTATTACTGTTTACTTAATCATACTTTTCTGGGGAATTGTTAATAGACTAAGATGTCAGAACTCAGTATGGGACCAGTTACCAATAATCATATAGATCCTGCGTCTCCATTCTTCTTAGAAGATCACAGAGGCTTGTAGAACAAGCTCTGAAAAGAAAACATCCCTTATGGCATAAAACAGAGGGACATTTTTATTCCCCTCCTTCTCTTCATTTGTGTCTAAATGTCCTTTTACCTCCTTGCAGTGTCCTGGATGTACGTCCCCTGCTGTGGGGTAAAAATGTAAATTGTCATCTCTAAATTCACAATGTAGTTTCGTTGGCAGAGTGTAGTGTCCTCAGGAGAGATTCTGCCACCACGCGATTGCCAGGTTGTCTTTAGAATCAAACTCGACACCTCTGAAAGGCACCCTGTAGCATTCAGTTGGCTGAAATATAATCAACGATTTGCTACTGCACCTCAGTTACATAGGTGTGTAATTCACATTCAGGAAACTTGAGAGGTTTCACCAACAGCAAAATCAGGACATTCTGTGGGGTCATTTTTTCGAGTGCAAAACTAAGAAGTCTAAGGATAGCTGCAGGAAGCCATGTCCATTTGTCACCCTAAAATGAATGATACTGGTTTGTTAGCACCCACGTGGTGCTCTGGCTCAGAATGGAGATGCAGTCAACTGAAACCCCTAAAAAATGTGGATGCTTACAATCTAGGTCTCACTCATTCTGCAAGCAACTTTTTATAACCTGAATGAAAGGATTCATCTCTATATCTACATTTAATTTCAGCTTCTTTATATCGGTTTGAAATGTCAGGTGTTCTAGGACTTTATACTCCTTTTTTTCTGCCATTAATTATATTAACTCTTCTTTCCAGATAACTTCACTTGGCAAATTGAATAAGAATAGTTTCTAGTTACTTATTTATATTTTTGATAGACAACACTGGAAAGATTAGTAGTAGCTAAAAGTTCATTCTGTATGTAGAATCTTCTCTCCAAGTTGACTTTTATTTTAAACAAGTCTCTTCTGGTACAAGTTTTCAACATTTGATTAACTTATCAAATTATATTATCATCTAGCTCATCTCTCTCAGTCAGTCTTGTCTACAAGGGTGTCGAGGCACTTTGTCAGATACCTGCTGAAATCCTCCCCCTGATCTAATTTGTGATTCTATCCAAAAAAATGGAAATGGGGTTCATTTGGTGTGCCTAGCTCTTACTGTAAGCATGCTTCAGGCTGTTGTCACGGTGTCCCATCCTCACTGCCAGTAAAACCATGAGGTTAATAATCCTTTCTAGGATTTGTCTGGAGCTAATATTGTGTTCCTTACCCTGCTGGAACCTGCCGGTAGCAAGTAATGCTATTCAGACACAGCAGAGGATCTGAGAAGAGGAAATTTGACAAATAGGTTAATAAGTTGAAAGACATTACATCGTGGATTATATTAAGGTCCACAATAAAGCCTAAATTTGAAACTGATAGATGGTGGGAAGCAAAGGGAAGCATCTGAGGGAAGGTTTTTAAAACCTGTGAGGAAGAAAATCCTGTGGAAATATGTGGGATAGTCTTGAGGGGCTTTTGAATGCACCCTAGTATGGGTAGTTAAGAGCCTTGTTTCAGGAAGCGAGTGTGGGAATGGGTGGACTCTCCTGTGGGAAAAGAATCCTTTGTATTTAGAGACTGTCTCCATGCGAAAGCTGAAAGGAAAAGAAAAATAGAAAATGATAACTCCAGGGCAGAGGGTCTAACAGGCTGAGAAGACACGGGGCCACTGAGAGCCACGGGGAAGCCAGGATAGTAGGAAGGGGAAAAATGAGATCAGCTTCAATATTTTTTCCAATTACACAAGTAGTATTTATATACATGGAAAGTGTGGAAAAATCATAGAAAATAAAATAGACCCTTCATCCTTAATATAATACACGGAACAACAAATGCTGTCATTTTGCTAATATCCTGCAGGTCATTTTAATACACTTACTTTGTTTTCAAACTGACATTCATCTATAGTTTGTATCCTGTTCTTTTCACTTGCCATTAAATTATACATAATATTGTATGTATTTTCATGGTGCTAAATGGCCTTTATAAATACCATTTTAATAACTATTTGCCAGTTTATCAAAGTACTGCCTTGTAATTTACATAATAATACCCCAGATGTTGGTCATTTGGGTTCCTCTGCATGTCTGCGTATGTATGTATGTGTGGCACTGAACATTTCCTTCCTTACGGCTTTTTTAAACAGGATTTTGAATCATTTCTAATGACAGCTTCCTGGAAGTAGAATTCCCACAGCAGCATATTTCATTGAGATACGTCACTGCATTTCTTTCCAAGAGTGGTATCGATGTGGTCTGCCCCCAGCCGTGTACAACCTTTAAGTCTTGAATGTTAGTGGGACATTTGAATGAAAGAGCATATGGACAGATGACAGTGAGAGAGATGAGGGCTGTTAGGACTTCAAATAATGAAACCATACCATGAGTAGGTGCGTTCCCTGAGGGGAAGATGAAGAGTAGTGTAAGGGGGGAAAAAATACCTTCAAGAAGTTTTTCCCTTTCTCATTTTACAGATAAAAATGTAAGGTGTGCAGAATTCATTTTTACCTTGTTGATATCTATTAATTCATCAGGCATCAGATTAAAGGTCACTCTTGGGCCACTGTCCCCGCTCCCTGTATGCCCCTTCTCACATCAGGGTAGGTCCCTATAACATTCCCACTGGTACTGCCCAAGGTCACACAAATAACTAATGTCAAGAGCAAGACTAGAGCCTGCTCTTCACTGTATGACCCTGGGGTCCCGTGATTGGACGGTGGCAATAGGCCATAGTCAGTGAGGTTGGGTGTGGAAGGGGCAGGAAGAAAGAAGAGTATAGAGGGAACCAGCAGGTGAGTTGTCATAGAAATTAGATACTTACACGAAACCAGGAAATTGATGCCCACTGTATGTCCACTGCAGCAAGAAAATAAAAAAGAAAAGACAAAAGAAAATCTCAGATTCAGTCAAGGTGGTCTCTAGCTTACCATTCTCTCCTGGTTCTCCATTAGCATTCAGAACTGGCTCTACTCCAGCTTCACCGATAAGATTATAAACATTTATAAGTCCACCATCAGTTTTAACCAGCCCTCTCATGCCATAGATTATATAGCTTGCATTACACTCACAGTAAAGGAAATAAAATGAACATTGTCTATGACTCCGACCCACTGTAAATTATTGCTGGCCCTAGGTTTATAGCCTATTGAAAAGCTCAATTAATTAATTTGATAACACTTAAAATAAAATATTTTCCTTTTATGTATTTGAGGATATGATTTCACCTGATACAAGAATGAACAGAAGATTGGAATAATAAAATATAAGTTAAGAAGTTTAGTCCAAGAGTGAGAGTCCCAGAGTCAGTGTCTCTCTTGCCCCAAATGCCATGTTTTGGGTAAAATTAGCCACGTATAGTATTGCATGCATGGCCAGGGCAACTTGAACTGGAACCTACCTTAAGAATTTACTGATATAATTATTCAGCACGTATTTATTGAGCACCTAGGTACCACCAAACATTAGAGATTGTCGAACTGGCAGGATGTGGGCGTTATTCTCATGGAGCTTAGAGCCTAGAAGGGAAGGCTACCCCTCAGCAAGGAATTACGGCTTCCTCCCCAATATCTAACACAATTTTGGCAAATGTGCAAAAAGCAATTACCAGTGGGAATGTTATAGGGACCTTACCTGATGTGAGAAGGGGCTTACATGGAGCGGGGACAGTGACCCAAGAGTGACCTTATAATCTGATGCCTGATGAATTTATAGATATCCACAAGGTAAAAAGGAAAAGGAAAAGCTATCTGGTGGAGAAAATGGACCATGTGAGGGCTTGGGGGTGGGGAGCAGTATGGTTCTTTCCTTTAACAGAAAGTTCCGTGCCTGGAAGTGCAGAGAATCAGGACCACGTGGCATGAGCAGAGTCCGGAGGTGGAGGAGGCTGCAGGTCTCCGCCAACGTGGGTCTCTCCAGCCTCCTGGCCTCCTGACAGTGTTACTCACCGTGGTTGCTTAGTCTTGTCAGACTTCCAGCTGGGCTTTTGTTTTATGATCCACTGCCTTTCCTCTTCAAAGTGATTTCTTTCTCTTGTACATGAATCGTGACAGAGAGTTGTTGATCTCAGTCTGCTGAGTGATAAAATAGTTCAGGATCGTGAATACCTACGCTTTCCTTGGTGAGGAGGAGTGCCAGGTTAATTGATTCCTTTCAGCTGAATGAGAAAGAGAATTGGACATCCGAGGCTGATAGCACATTCCTCCTACGTGTCCATCTTGATGGCTGACGGGTGGACGAACTCTTTTGTAAAGAAAATAAAAGCAAAGGAGAGGCTGAGAAAATAAGCATCTCTGCCTTGTGTTTTGATGAGTTTCTCAGAGAAGTTATTGACATGAGTTCAAATGCCCACTGGTCCTAAACTTCCCAGATTTGTAAAGGTAAATAAAGTCATTTGGCTACTGGGGAGATATCTTATGTGCGCTCATGGCATTGACCAGAGGGAAAGGACCTCCGGACAGCAGTTCAGATGAGTGACCGTTGTATCAGGCTGCTGCCGTGTGAGACCAGGTTTTCTTCACGTACTTCAAACATACAAAAACAGGTTAGCACCAAAGTAGGAGAGTCCACCTATCTTCCATTAAGCCAGGCATTAAGGAGATTTTCAAAAACAG